ACACTAAACTAGTTAGTTAGTTCACTTGACTTCAATGACTAAGAATAATTTCACGTGATAAAATTATCCACTATTCCCGAAATGGTAAAATACAAATACGCCAAGACTTTGGTTTCTTTCTCCCAACAACCAAACCCCGATTTGGAAGGATAACAAACCGTCTGCGGCAACAATATCGAAGGAACGACCAACCTCAGCATGAAGCGAATGACGACAAACTTCAACATTGAGAAACGAAGAGGAGAAAACAAAACTCTGTTCCTCCGTTAAGATATCGTTGTGTTTTATAATATCAACTATTCCGTGTGTATCGAGCAGCACCAAATTCAGCCGCGAACCAAACCAACCTAACCACGCGGAACGAACCCTGGGCGTCTTTCACCCCCACCCCCCAATTCAGGCTGTGTGCCGCGGGTGGAGCCCGCGAAAATATAGACAGCCATGCGTATCGTAGAAGTTGTTATTGATGTGAGTACAGGACGAGAAGATGAGGCAATGTGGGTGGGAAGATTTTGCTGACAAGCTGGTTTTTAACATTTGCAGGGCTTTAAATCCTATGCTGTGCGCACCGTAATATCGGGATGGTACGTTTTGGTTCTTCTTTGTTCTTTCGTGCTGCTGATTCTTGCATCATGGCAAAAGCACATTATGGCGGAAGAGATTTTCTCGCATGACCCCCCGGATTCCACCACAATGCTAATTATCTATGAATTAGGGACGAATCGTTCAACTCGATCACCGGCCTCAATGGCTCCGGCAAATCAAACATCCTTGATAGCATCTGCTTTGTTCTTGGAATTACGAATATGAGCACCGTGCGCGCGCAGAACTTGCAAGACCTCATTTACAAGCGTGGTCAGGCGGGTGTAACCAAGGCGAGCGTGACGATAGTATTTGACAATCGCGACAAGTCTAAGTCACCCATCGGGTTTGAGGAGTATGCGAGCATATCGGTTACGAGACAGATTGTGCTTGGCGGGACCAGTAAATATTTAATCAATGGACACCGCGCACAACAACAAACTGTGCAAAATCTCTTCCAGAGCGTCCAATTAAATATCAATAACCCAAATTTCTTGATTATGCAGGGGCGAATCACGAAGGTGCTGAATATGAAGCCGGTGGAAATTCTGTCGATGATTGAAGAAGCAGCTGGAACTCGAATGTTTGAGGATAGAAAGGAGAAGGCTGGAAAGACGATGGCAAAAAAGGAGATGAAGGTGCGGGAAATCGAGGGACTTTTAAAGGAGGAAATCGACCCTAAATTAGAGAAATTACGAGGGGAGAAAAGAGCGTTCCTCGACTTCCAGCAGACACAGAGTGACCTTGAGCGCTTAACCAGACTCGTTGTTGCACACGATTATTTGAAGAATGGAGAACGGCTACGTTTGGCTGGAGAAGAATTTGACAAGAAGAAAAGAACAGTCACCGACTTGGAAAATAGCATTGCGAGACTCAAGGGTGAAATCGCTCACCTGGAAGAGGATGTGAGGAGGGTAAAGGCAATTCGCGAGAAAGAGCTCAGAAAAGGGGGGAAGTTTCAAGCACTGGAAGACCAAGTGAAAACGCATTCCCACGAAATGGTACGTCTGACCACACTTTTCGATTTGAAGACCTCAAGCATGGCGGAAGAATTATATAAGAGAGAAGCCATGCAAAAGACAGTTACCGAAATGCAAGGATTATTGAAAGAGAAGAAAAAAGTCTACGATAAGTTACAGGCCAAGTACGATGCTGCAAAGGCTGAGCTAGACAGCCAGACTGCTGAGGTTGAGCAGAAGGAGGAACTTCTTCAAACTTTACAGACAGGCGTTGCATCCAAGGAAGGCCAAGAAAATGGATATCAGGGGCAGCTTCAAGACGCGCGAAACCGCCTCAGTTCTACGGCAACCGAACAAGAGCAGGCCAAACTTAAGATCTCCCATCTTGAAAAGAGGATAAAGGAGGAAGAGCCTCGAGCGAAGAAGGCCAAGGATCAAAACTCGAACCTCCTAAAGGATCTTGAGGAACTTCGAAAACAGGCAAAAAAACTCGAGTCGGACCTCGCCAAGCAAGGGTTTGAACCAGGAAAGGAAGAAGAAATGTACCAGGAAGAATCTAGATTGCAGAAGAGCATCCGAGAGTTGCGAAGTCAAGCTGATTCTATGAAACGAAAAGTTGCTAATATCGACTTCAACTACTCGGACCCTTACCCCAACTTTGATAGATCTAAAGTCAAAGGGTTGGTAGCGCAACTTTTCAGCTTAGACAAGGATAAAATTCAGGCTGGAACTGCACTTGAAATATGTGCTGGTGGACGCCTTTATAATGTTGTCGTCGACACTGCTGAAACTGGTACGGCCCTGTTGCAAAATGGGAAACTTCGAAAACGTGTTACAATCATCCCATTGAACAAAATTGCATCCTTCAAGGCCTCTGCTGAGAAGATCGGAGCTGCGAAGAATCTGGCACCTGAAAAGGTGGATCTTGCTTTATCCATGATTGGATATGACGACGAGGTGGCTGCTGCGATGCAATATGTTTTCGGCACGACCTTGATTTGCCAGGATGCAGACACTGCGAAGAAGGTTACATTTGATCCCTCTGTGCGTATGAAGAGCGTTACTCTAGAGGGTGACGTGTATGATCCTTCAGGAACCTTATCAGGAGGCAGCTCGCCAAACTCCAGCGGCGTTCTCGTTATCCTCCAGCAGCTGAATGAAATAACGAGGCAGCTCATACAAAACGAACGAGCTCTACGTTCTCTGCAAGAAACCATGACGAAGGAGAAGAAAAAGATGGATCTTGCGAGAGCTACTAAACAAGAATTTGATCTCAAGACACATGAGATCAAGTTGACGGAAGAACAGATCAATGGAAATTCGTCTACCTCGGTAAGTTTACCAATCCAGATTTCTCGAAGAATTGGAAGAAGTATAATAAGTCACTAACAAATGACAGATTATTCATGCTGTTGAAGAGATGAGAGCCAATATTGAGCAACTTAAGAATGATATTGAAAATGCTAAAAAGCGCCATGCTGAGGCTAACAACGATATTAAGCGGATTGAGAAGGATATGCGAGAATTCAGCAGCAACAAAGACAGCAAGCTTGCCGAATTACAATCGTCGCTGGACTCGCTCAAAAAGGCACTGAGCAAGAACTCGATTTCGGTCAAGACACTTCAGAAGGAGCTTCAAGCATCACGACTGGATTCCGAACAGGCTGGAAGTGACCTAACAGCTGCAGAAGAACAGCTTGCTGAGGTTGACCAGACAATAAAAGCCCAAAAGGAGGAAGTTGAGGCTCTCAAAAGAGAGCAAGAAACATGCAAGGTGTGTCCCCAATTGAAACAACTATTCGTGCGTTTTTCTAATAGGCTTGCTGATATCACGTATAGAAAGAGCACGACCTTGCTCAGGCCCAACTAGAGGACGAACAGGCCAAGCTCACTGGTTTTGACGACGAGCTTCGTGACTTGGAGGAGGCATCTCGATCCAAAGCTGCACGAATTACGGAAGAGGGCCTTGAACTGCAGAAACTAGGCCATCAAATTGAAAAGTTCCATAAAGACCAGCAAAATGCTGCACAGCTGGTAGCCAGCATGGAAAAGGAACACGAATGGATCGTCGAAGAAAAAGATAGCTTTGGGCGGCCTGGCACGCCATATGATTTCAAAGGCCAGAATATTGCCGAATGCAAGGCGTCGCTTCGTAATCTCACTGAGCGATTTCAAGGGATGAAGAAGAAGATCAATCCGAAGGTCATGAATATGATCGACAGCGTCGAGAAAAAAGAAGTCGTGCTCAAAAACATGATGAAAACTGTCATCCGGGATAAGAAGAAGATCGAGGAAACTATCATTAGCCTTGATGAATATAAGAAAGAGGCGTTGCAGAAGACTTGGTCTAAGGTTAATGGCGACTTTGGCCAGATATTCGCGGAGCTACTTCCTGGCAGCTTTGCTAAGCTGGATCCTCCTGAGGGGAAGGAGATTAGTGATGGGCTTGAGGTGAAGGTTAGCTTGGGCAAAGTGTGGAAGCAGAGCTTGACGGAATTAAGTGGTGGACAAAGGTATGTCATGTTTTGTGTCCTTTGTTTCTGTGAGTAGTGCCACTAACAAAGCCACCAATGTGCAGGTCTCTGATCGCGCTCTCCCTTATCATGGCTCTTCTCCAATTCAAACCAGCACCCATGTACATCCTCGACGAAGTCGACGCGGCCTTGGACTTGTCTCATACGCAGAATATCGGACGTCTGATCAAGACACGTTTCAAGGGTTCACAGTTCATTGTGGTCAGCTTGAAGGACGGCATGTTCCAGAATGCAAATCGGATCTTTAGAACGAGGTTTAGTGAGGGCACCAGCGTTGTCCAAGCACTGACTCCAGCGGACTTGAAGTAGGCCGGCTGCGGGTTTAAACCCTTGTTTTTTCCTTCTTATCTTTCTCTTCATTTTAATACCATGGGATTCTGGGGAAATAAACCTTCTTTCCTTGGATTTTTGGAATATAATGGTATTTGTTTTGGTCTATGGCTTGAAGCGATCAGGTTTATCTTTATTTTTTCCGTTGACAATGGTAATCATACGGTCTGGTGTTCTTTTGATAGGGCTTGCAAAGGACGAGAACGGAGGTGTTATTTTGCATTCTTTTCCGTTTCAAATGATCTGAATGAAGGATTTGTTTGTATATTTCGCATGTGTCTTCGTGGTTAGTGGCATTTCGTCTATTACGTCGTTTTCCTTATCCCTTAATGAAGAGTTATATCATTTATAGTTCCTGCGGTGTGTTTAGATGGATATATAGACTTGTGATGTTCAAGCATATGTCTTAGCAAGTGCAAAACCCAAATGGAAGATGAAATGATTTACAGAAGCTCAACAGATGGTTTCACCTATCGACTTTTAAGATAGATGCCTCAAAGTTACTAACAATTCCATGAAAAGTGGAATATAAAAGCTTATCCATTACCTGGTACAGACGTATGCGGAACTCCATGGCGGCGGTGCTCCGTTGCCCTCAAAACTCCTAGACACCATCATCAGCTTTGCAAAAGAAAAAGACAACACTGGGGAGATTTTCTTCCCACAATTGAAGTGAAAGTAGCAGCCCATTGAGAGCCATCTTCCAATGCTTGATCAAGTTGGCGATTCACCTCAGCAACCGTTTCTTGGATCGCTACTGCCTCAACGGGCTTGTTATTGGCAAGCATATGCGTCTCCAAGGTCTTTGGTAGCATCATCTTAAATGTTGGCTGGCCAACGCTTGTCATTTCCTCTGCGCTAAGAGGAGGGATGCCATCAGGCCTCGAATTTTCCCTTCGTGTTACATCCTGAATCCCTATTTGTTTCAAGAATGATACGATTAGACCGGGGAGGCTGGAACCTCACTGCTAAACTGTTGTCGGAGCTATATATGGGCCTGTTTAGAGAGGAAATGGGAGATGTGGTTGCAGGCTTATCCACACTTTAGTGGGCATGCGGTCCCGGGAGAGCTGCGATATACTCCATATGTTGATTGTGCGGATCCGACCTAACATTGACCCATGTCATATCTCCCCATTGAAGACAACCACCGGGCCCTTGAAAAGGTCATTTGAGCATAGATCAGCATATGGGATTTCCACTAACTGTGAGAACTCTGGGGGAAAGGGGGAAAATAGACGTAACGAAGCAGCTCCATCGGATTTGATACCACTGCCGGCACATCTATAGCTTTTAATGCTTGCACGACAAGTTTTTATTTGCAGGATTTAAACCACCTACCCTGCCCTGATTGCCACATCTCGCTTGATATTCTCTGTCTGGATTGATGGCTGTGGCTGCAGTAAACCCTCGGCCCATTGGAATAAGACAGGATACTGTTTCTTTAATCTAATATGAATTTTTAGCCATTAGCAAAGAAATATTAATATATACAAAGACCAAAATAGCTGCAACCAACCTTTTGTGTTTTACACCTCTACGAGGAAGATTATGCTTAATCCTGGCCGGAGTAAATCACTTCCGTTAATTTTAAGTGCGGAAATATATACGATTGTTCAACTGGTGGAAGTAAATGCGTTAACAAGATTAAAGTCACGTACACTTGGTGGTTTATCTCCCCTGCGACAGACTCAAGTGGTCACTGGAATCTCCAGCGCTTGAAATTGTGGAATAAATTTTATTGGTCTTATGACAGCGTTAATCCTTGAAATTAAGACCCGCTGGTGGCTGATGTCGAAACTCGGAATTACAGAACTATCAGAAGGGAAATAAACACACTCCTGATGCCTGGTGTCCATAGCTATATAGCTATACCTATGAATACAGCAATCTCAAGAGGTTGCCACATACTATATGCAATCACTTAATAATGGCCGTGGTGCCATTTCCCACAGCTTCGGCCTGGGAGAAACGAAAGATAGAAGCATTGCAGGCATTTCATACTACCAGGTATGCAGACAGTTGCTTGTAGTGCCCACACACCAAGAGTTGTAACTAGTATGTACATTTGGCAAAGTGAGGTATCCAATGTCTTCGATTGATGTTGTTGTAGAAGATGACGTAGTAGTTGGAAACCGTTACCAGGTGAGATGTTGTCAGTTAATAGACGACATTGGGATCACTTCCGATCAATGTCAACTACTTGACAACGGAATTTCTGTTGTGAGAAGAAAATGGATCTGTCAATGTTGAACGCTTGAGGCGCTTAAAGTCACGTGTTCCAGCTGCCCCGGCTAATATATCGACAAAATCTTGTTTGGCCACCTAAGCGCCCGGCGCCGTTTTTTCCGCGCTCCTCTTTATATCATTCCCCTCGGCTTGAACTAGAATTCATCCCCATTATCCATACTTGCAACTTGTTGTCCTCTGGTCCTCGTAAGTATTTTACAATTTTGCCACTCTATACAGTCCTTACATCCATCATAAAATCAACAACTAGCCACCAATCTTGATCGTCGGAAACCGACCTAACTCTGAAGCACGAACAAGTCTGGCGCGCCAATCCGTAAGCAAAACCCTCACATGGCCGACGCGGAGCCATCCCTCAACATCCCTTCTCTCCTTACCCTCGCCGTCTTCTCTTTTTTTGTAATCCGGTGGTTCTTTGGACGAAGCGGCGCTACCCCATCGAGCGATGCCGCGGAGCGGCAGGGAAGCGGAAGGCGTGTTGATCCCGCCCACGTAGAGCAGCTGTCACAGATGTTCCCTCAACTGGACAGGAGGGATATCATGTGGGATTTACAGAGGAATGGGGACAGTATTGCTGCAACATCGGAGAGAATATTGTCTGGCGGAGGACTGGATACGGTGAGTTGGAAACCTGTGTTATCCCCTTCTCGTCTCTCAAGCACTATTTTGGCTGTATCTCGGAATCTCAGTAGACCAGTTTCTATATTAAAGGGGACATCAGACATTGGCAATGTCTAACACTTGAGGCTGAAGGCCCGAGTATCTATTAAAAGGATAACATGCTGACATGTTGACTCGTTTTCTCTTTCCTCTAGCCACCACAATCCTATCAGCCTCAGATCCCTGTCCCGTCAGCCCCAATGACAACCGCCGCCGGTTCAAACTCCCGATCCACACCTAAACCACAAGCGCAAGACCTCATATCACGATACAACCTTTCCGATAAAGTTAAATCGGAATCAGCGCCAATCGTGGAAAGCTCGGGCTCTGAGACAATTATACACCAGGGAAGCGCATGGTCACAAAACCGAACCGAGAGACAGCGCCTTTTGCAGCAAAGAAGAGACGAGATGATCCTGGCTGCGAGGAGGAAATTGCAGGAAAAAGATAGAACGGCCGGGCGAAAATAGTAGGGACTTTTTAAGCTGGTCGACCTGTATATCTCTTCCTAATCATGGAAATAATTTCCCTGGCCTGACGCACCTCGAAGTGTTTTTTTTTTGGTCCAAAATACATGCGTCACCGGTGCAGATGTTAAGCCTTGGAGGTGGGGCTCCATCTGTCAACCATAGTATCTGGATGACATTTTCTTGTTTTCTTTGCTGCACTGCTAAAGATTTGCTTTAAAGTGTGCTTCTTGTTTTGCTTAATACCATAGTTATACCTGCCTTAACTTAGCCATGCATAGAGCCAAAATTATGTATTTATTGGACCCCCTGTTGACCTTTGCTATAGTACGTCGATTGACAGATGTCCCAGAGATATGCATCTCTTACAATTCCATGTCGTCATAATCGTCATTCGTTTCACCGTACTGCCGATTGGCTGCTTCTTCTGCTTCTTTTTCCCGTGCAGCTTCTTCTTTTGACGTCCCAATTTGTCTAGGAACAAAGAAAAGAATCAGCACAACTAGTATAAAGCTGCAGAGCCGTTAAAAAAGTATGGAATATCCCCACCCTTGCCAACCTTGCGGGGGCGTATAATGTCCACAAACCTAAAGATCTCTGCCACTCCAGACATGAATGCTCTACTCTCACCGATTTCCATAGCTCCCACACCGGTCAATTGCAATCCGTCCCCTCCACCAACCGCAGTGGCATCTAGTCCTTCGACTTGGATTCTCATCTTAGCCATTCGTACTTCCCTCAAATCTCGTATCAGCCGACGTATTTGGTCTGCATCAACCAAATCATCGCTTGCGACATCTAACAGCATGGTCGCAAGCTCCAGCCAGTGATATGGAAGAGAAGGGGAGACGACGGAGGGAGAAGTCAACCTATCCTCTGCGGTATTTTGCAGTAGAAACGGTGGTGATGGGTAATATATTTGTCCGTCCAGTGTGTACTCATGTGTTGGAGGTCCATTTCTGCGGTTCCCCATTGCACGATCTCTGTCTCCGGCGTTGTCAGTAAGTGGTGGAGGTTGTGAAAACGCGTCTCCCAGTGAGTCGCGGTCAGTTTCTACTTCGAGAATGAGAGAGAGCGCTTCGGGATTTAGCCAGGGAGGGGGAAGGATGTTTGCGCGTCGTTGTCGTTTGAGGAGGAGGGCTAACCAGAGTGGGAGGTTTGTTCGTCGTGGTGGGACGAGCGGGGGTATGGGCCCCTTGACAGAATGAGGGAAATATGGTTAGTTTATTACGTGGTATGGTGGCATTGAGAATAGCAAAATTTACGGTCAGTATAACTGCCTGCGGAATTGGCCTTCTGAATTTCTTTTGGAACCCTTGCAGGGCGGATTGTAGGTTTTTTTTTTTACCTATGCTTTATTTTCTCGTAGCAGACAGGGTCAACTCACTCCAAGCAATTCGAGCTTCTCAAGACGCTGTCGGGGAATGACGGTGACCATTTCCATTTCACAAAGGAATGCAATTTCGGGGGGCGTAATACCCCTGGGTAGAGGGAAAGCCATGGCAGGCGAATTATAATAAACACCGGTGATTTGCGATTTTATGATCTTATCTCCCACATTTGCCAAAACAGTTCACTCCCATAGTTGAGATCGCGTCAAATCTGTGGGATGATTGGTCTTCCATTGGTGGGAGGACTGGCCACCTTAACTGATATACACGTACATCACGTGAGGTGGTGCGGCTACCGGGCGGTCATGCCCAACAAAATCTCTTAGAGGACCGTTGTCTACCTTGTTGCATTGTGTGACTCTAAGCAAGCTAGCTAGCTACTAATAAATACATAGGTGCACGTGATCTCGGGTAGCTGGGGAATCCTCTAACACCCCCCCATACCACAGTGAGCCTGAGCTCTACCCTATCCCCTAGCTGCTGAATGCCCTCAAATCCACAATAAAAATTAAATACAGGAATCAGATGCTAGTTTCTCTATTAGAAAAAGCTCTATTATGGCTTCATACTGTAACTTTGCAAAGAATGTACACAATTATTCCTCTAACCTGTATTCTTATTATACCTTCTTAAAGGCTACAAAATCATATAAAATTAATCATCCTCATCAATGAGATCAGACCTCTGTCAATCCTATTTTCTCCACAAATTCATTGTAAGCTGGCTTTGACAGAGGCTTTGTAAATTCATCTGCTTTATTTACTGTAGAATCTATGTGTGAGAGCTTCATCTCTTTTTTCTTAACTAGATCACAAAGTATATGGTAATGAATTTTTATATGATAGAATCTTTTTATCAAGAACTTCTTCTTTGTCAGATCAATGACATCTTTATTATTCATCTACAATGTTGTGCAGATTTTTGACTTTTCTTTCATCAGATCTGTATCTTGCAGTATATCATTGAATCAAATAAGTTCATATGCAGTTTCACTAATAATAATATATTCTGCTTCTATTATTGATTTTGCAATTGATGTTTGATATTGTGAGCACTATGATATTGAGAATTCATTAATCATGATGATATAGTCAGATGTTAATTTATATTGAGAGTCTGCATCTGCTTAATCTGAATTACAATAAGCAATTGATTATAGATTTCTATTATCTTTCTTATTTTTGTAAACTATTTTCAGGGCTTTCATCTTCTTTACATAGTAAAGGATATGCTTCAGAGCCACTTAGTAGTTCTTATTCAGGTGTGAGTTGAATCTTGACAGATAATTCACAGTAAATGCTAAATCTGACCTTGTGCTTGATACAAGATATTGAAGTGATTCAAGTCTCTGATGATATCTCATAGCTGTAAACTTATCTTTCAATTCATTATTTCTCTCTAAGATGAATTCAAGTTGTATATCTGTCATCATAAATATGCCAGCAGGGTTAATTTTATTTATTCTAAAATCTTCAAAGATCTCTTCAATAGAGTGAGTCTGTAAAATTACTAAGTCATCATTTGATTTGTATTTAATCTTCATTTCAAGATAAGACTTGTCTTTTTCAATATCTTTTGTGTCAAATTTCTTCTGTATCTTACTCAATACTCAATCTAATTCTATTTTTTTGAGGTTTATAACTCTGCAATCATTAACATACAGTGTTAGATAGATTTTGTAAATAGAATAAAATAGAAATCCTTTATCATATTTTGAAATTCTGAATTTCAGTGATGAGAGATGCTTTATTATCACAAAATATTAGATTTTTGTAGCTTGCTTCATGCTATACAAGCTCTGTTTGAGAAGATCACCAGTCCCCTTCTTCCATGTTTAATGTTTGTAGATAACTGCATATAGACCATTTTATTCTATGACAGTACATCATTGAAAAATACTAATATCTAGTTAATTGATTTTGATTTTCAACCTCTGGCAGTTGATATAATGAATAGAAAGTGACTTGTAGACTTTGAGATGACTGCAGTATAAAACTTGAAGTAGTGAATGCTCTACTGCTACAGAAATTCTCTAATTACTCAGCAGATTCTAAAATGAATTATCTTATCTCTATGATTCAACTTATAATCAAACACTCATTTGTCTATCAAGATATTCATCTCAGATATCTTCTCAATGATAATATATATTTTCTTATTTTTAAATATTTTGACTTCTTTTCTCATTATCTCAAGTCAGTGATTTCAATTTGAACTTTTATTTACCTCTGTCAGATTATTTGAGTGATTCATAAACATGCTCAGAATAGAATCAATGTCACTGATGAGTATCTCAGATTTATTATCCTTGACTAGCTCTGTCTCATTGAGCAGATAGATCAGATCAATGATATTTTTTAGATCATTATTAATCAATATCTTCAGAATCTCTGATTTATCTTTTATTAGTTATTCTAGTAGACAGTGATATCAGTCATTCAGAAGATTAATATCATCTAATTTCTTTGACAGTTTGATATCTTCTCTTATTATCTCAATAGCTTTACTCACAGTATTTGCAGAAACAGATTTTGTGAAAAGATCTTCATCAAAAATAACATCTCTAGCAATCTCTAATTTGCATTCTTTTGAGTCTCATATATAGTATTAATGCAATTCTTGATAACTCATCAATCATCACTTCTTGTCATCTGTTCTGTCTGCAAGCTTATTTATCACTTTCAGATTCTTCTTGTAAATCTTACATTCTCATCTGCAGATTCAATGAGCTGATGATTGAACCTCTGTTCAGACTTTAAAAAATATCAATGAACTACTATCTTTGCAGTCAAAAATCTTTGTTGATGTAGAAGATGTATTTATCAACATTACAGCTGTCTGCATTGCTTCATTTCAAAGTTCTCTGACAAGCTCACTATCAAATAGTAGACTTCTTGTTTTATTTATCATTAACTGATTCACATATTCTGCAGAGTCATTTGATTAAGATGTATCTGAAGTTGTCACTTTATACACTATTTTTTTACTCTTATAAAATATTTTGAGATCATTACTTTTGAACTATCTGCTATCATTTTAATATATAGTCTCTACAGATTATTGAGATATTACTTCAATCATGTCAATGAAGCTCATGAGTACTGATATGACCTCTGCTTTTATGATAATTAAAATAATTCATCTAAAGTAAGTGATGTCATCAGTAATTCTTATTTATTATCTTGCATCTTTTTCAGTGAGTAGATTTTCTTTATCATATAGTGTTTTTTCTTCTTCTGCAAAGTTCACAAAAAATCTCATTGCTGATTTGACAGCTCTGCTCATTGAGACAAAAGACATATAGATTATTTTAACTTATATATATATCTTGCAGAATGATAAAGTTCTTTGATTTATTATTCACATCTCTAGTCTAGAATCTGCAGTCATTCTTGATATATTCACTGAGTTTAGATAACTTAGCTTTTGATGTCACTGTGTTATCATGTATTTCAAAGTCTTAATGTCTCTTTTGAGCAACTTCATTAGAGAATCATCATTTGATTGCAAGACATATACAGGTTCAAAATCATCATTTGATATTGTAAAATGAATCAAATCTCTTAATGCTGGTGATTTCTCTATCATATAGATATTCTTTTCATTCAAATGCACTATGAAGCCTATTATTCTATCAGAAGATATTATCAAAATTGAATGATTATTGTCATATGTCAATTGTTTGAAAGTATAATCTTTGTATATAAGTTTTTCAAGACTTATTAAATTGATCTTCAACTTCAAAATATAACAGATATCATTCAGTTCAATATCTGATTTCTCAATTGAGATGCATATTCTCTCTACATCTGCTACTGATGTTGTAGATTTATCTGTCATCTTCAATATGATATTTATTTTTTAAAATATAATCTCAACAATATTCTTCAAAGATATAATATAAGCTTCTGATTCAGAGTTTAGAATTTAAATATTCTTTATCATTTTATCACTAAAATAAATTATCTCTTTTGCAGAGAATACTTGCTTCACAATATTATAAACTGAAGTAGTGCTGTCTTTATTCTTATTTTTATATTTATTCTTTTCTTTATAATTTGCAGAGTGTTTTTTTGAATATTTTGTTCAATAATCAATCTTGAAATACTTTATCTTCTGATAGTAATAGCATATCTTTTTCATGTTGTTGCTATTCTGCTTGAACTTTTTATCTTTATTTTTATCTTTAGTTCTCAAATTCTTATTCTTATTCTTATTCTTTTTTCATAAATCTTGAGTATTATTTGTAGAATTTCTTATATTTGTTGTAACAGTGTTCTGTTCAGAGTCTGATAAATATAATAGAATATCTCAACACAGTCTCATGAAATCTATATTAATATTGCAGATATTGACATCTTTTTCAGTGTAATTCATTCTATTTCTAATGAATGATACTCATTCAGCACTGATACCAGTTAACAAGTAGTTGAAAAGAATAAAATCTTTAATCTTTTATCTCAAATGAGTATATTTAGTCTGAATGATGATTAGACATTCTATAAAAACTCTATCTGAGCCTTTTATCTTAGCTGTTAAGTTAATCAGTTTCTCAAAAAGATGAATGCAGTAGACTGCAGATCTCTCTGAGAAATTCTTTTCTATAATTATTCATAAAATATATGCTGACAACTGATGATCTGAAAGTATTGTAAAATGAAATCTTGCTTGCAGAGAGATTGAAGACAATATATAATTATAGAGTCATATATTTCTTTCAGTTCAAAAATATTACATATTCATACTAATATCATCCTTTAGAGTAGATTACTTCTCATTGAGAATATCATTGATTTCAGATTGCTTAGCAGTCAGTGTCATCTCTTTTCTTCATATTGAATAGTTCACAGAATTAGTTAGAATAACAGATTTCTTGATGTACTTCACTTAATCTCTAAATTCAGTCAAGATCTTCATTATGACAGTAGTTCTATCTTTTTCTATAGATAATTTGCAAGATCTTCACTCATTTTATTGCTGTTAGCATTGATAATTAGTGTCTCTTTGCTAGCTCTCATCATTTTAACTTCTTGCTGAAGTTTTACAATCTCTAATCTCATCAGAGTTTCTTCACTAACTCCTGACACCTGGTCACTAGAGTCAATCATATTCTCTGACATTTTGTCAATCAGGTCTTCATATATGTTATTAGACTCATCTGATTTCTCCAAAATCATCTTATCTATTTCAAATGCTTCAGGGGCACTTCTACAGACTGTAATAGATGTAGGCAGTGAACCTGCAGACTCTGGAGTCCTATTCTCCAGGGTCCTATTCTCAGATCCTCAGTTTTGTCTCCTTTTTGGCATGTATTCTTCTGTCAAATCTGGCGTTCCACCCGAACGTAGATTGACCATTGATGTCGTCCAATTGTTGTTCGCGTTTTTCCTCACATTGTTCATAGCTGTTCGTTCGTAGCCGTTCATTCGCAGCTGTTTGTTCACAGCTTCTCCTCACGTTGTTCGCAGCGAAAGACCTCTAATTTGAGGGTCTCATAACCTCTTAGAGGACCATTATCAACCTTGTTGCATTGGGTGACTCTAAGCAAGCTAGCTAGCTACTAATAAATACATAGGTGCACGTGACCTCGGGTAGCCGGGGAATCCTCTAACAAAATCTTCAGTAGCTATGGGCTTAGTCATTTAAGGTCATGTGATAACTTGATTTACTTGAACTCCAAAACCACAATTGATATAAACTTGCTCCGGTTTGAAGCAGAAGGGAGGGCAAAATATGCATAAGACTCCCTATCATTACCCCCTGTTGATAAACTACTAAATGTGGTTTAAATGCATATCGGATTCGATCCGTACAGTTTGCGACCAAAAGTGCGTGCTAGCTGGTTCAGGGAATTGGTGACAGAAGTTGCTCTGAACAAGAAATCACAACAGACCCCCGATCCTTTGTGGGTAGATGATTTTGCTGAGGAGGCGATATGGCGCCTGAGGAAAAATCAGTACCCAAAAGGACACAGAATTGGTGGGTAGCCTTACCTGTAACATCGACAGCGTTATTCGCATCCACTCTCCTCATCATTTGGCAACTCCTTATCAACTCTGTGGTCCCGGACCCTTATTTGGACGAGGTATTCCATGTTAGACAAGCACAGGCATATTGGGTGCATCGGTGGCGGCAATGGGATCCTAAAATTACCACTCCTCCAGGAGTATACATATGCTCATACATAATCGGCGCTGCTTTATTCGCCGTCGGGTTACGGCCAACGCATCCCACAGCTTCGTTTTTCCGCTATGGAAATAGCATTGGATTGTTCAATATCCTTCAACTTAAGCTTAGAAAGCTTATAGGATATATATGGAATGACAATCTCGTGTCAACGACTCAAAGTTCGGCTGTTTCTGTTTCGCTGAATTGTCAAGAGCTGTGGGAGAGAAATCTGACAGTGTTGAATATTTGTCTCTTTCCTCCGCTATTTTTCTTTTCTGGACTCTACTACACAGACATAGCCGCTCTCTTAATTGTGGTGGAAGCTTTTATCTGTGATTTCAGCCGGAGTCATCACCGTGATGCCCGATCAACCCCTGGCGATAATATGGTTGCCTTATCCTGGAGAGATTTCCGGTTTTTGATATACAGCTTATTTTCTCTGACATTCAGACAAACCAACATCTTTTGGGTGGTTGTCTTTCTAGGGGGGCTACGGGTTGTGAAAACACTGCATAGGGTGACAATTGATTGTCAATCCACCGACGTTTGGAGAATTGCTCAGGGTAGCTGGGAACTCCATCAACTTTATGACCCTCCAGTTAGCCAGGCATCTTTCCAAGGTACTTCCCACGTCGTCGGCGAATGATGCAGCTTTCGCTAACTTGTTCGATAGACTATTTAAAAACGTTGGTTTCCTTAGGCACCTCAGCTATAGCGCATATTGCCCAGGTAATTATTGCGCTGCTCCCCTACTTATTCTTTCTTGGTGCATTCGGACTATTTGTCGTCTGGAACGGATGTGTAGTTCTAGGTAAGTCTCCATTCAACATTAAATTATGTATGATTGATCCCTAATTGGAACTCCTCAGGCCACAAGGAATTCCATACTGCGGGCCTGCACCTCCCGCAAATGCTCTACATATGGCCATACTTCGTATTCTTCTCGTGGCCAATAGCCTTGGTACCCTTCACCATATCCATCCTCCAACGGTCCTTAACGAAGGCTCTTCCCAGCATGAAAACTGCAGCAATTTTTCTTCCATTAATGCTAATAACCGTCCACTTTAATACTGTTGTCCATCCATTCACCCTAGCCGATAATCGCCATTACGTTTTCTATATCTTCCGCATTCTATTGAGACATCCGCTAATAAGATATTTGGCCACTCCCATTTACTTCATTTGCGCATGGGCTGTCCTTGCAACTTTCAGCGCAAACTCTCCATCAGCTTCAGAAACCTATGCGCCAGATGATAGCAGCTCTAAAAGTAGCCAAAGTCTGCCAACGAAGGTGCGAGAGAATGATCCACCTCGAGTTCGAGTTAGTTTTGTTCTTATTTGGCTAATAGCCAGCTCACTTTCTCTTGTTATGGCACCTCTCGTTGAACCGAGATATTTCCTCATACCATGGGTGATCTGGCGGCTCCACGTCCCGCCGCCATCAACCAGAATGAACGGGCTCCCAAAAGGTTTCGGGAGGGAATATAACCGTGCCAAATTACTACGATATCTTCCTCTACTCTTGGAGACTGCGTGGTACATTGTCATTAACGTAGTTACCGGGTATATGTTTTTATATCGAGGGTTTGAGTGGCCACAGGAACCAGGGCCGGTACAAAGGTTTATGTGGTGATGATCTATTCGGGAAGTTTGTGGATTTTGTTCGCTTGTACGATGTATTTAGTGAGACAAGGGAATACGATAAGCATTGGTGTCAAGTGAAGGGAGAGGGGCACCACATCCTATCTATTTTAGTTAGTTGTAGAGATAGATGGAATACATCCTTGTTCAACAAAGTACTTCCAACCACTGTCCTACAGAAGATCCGATTCATTTCGAGCATCTCTAGAACACTTCTAGAATTTGTCATCCGACCATTACTAGTTACCTAGGTAGGTTATTTGAATTGGGTAGGGTGGGTGTTTAGTCTGCACCCTATATATACAGAACTGTGCTCCGCACCGCGACGCAGACAGATCCGAGACTGAAAAATTGCAATTTTATTTCATGCACAGACCCCAAAGTATTCCCGCTAGATGGTCTCTCCATAGGGCTGAATCCCAGACATGACATGTTCCCGTCTAAGCATCGACACGAATGCGCATAGCTATTAAAAGCAGTTGTAAATAAGACACAAGCTGGCCCATTGATGTCATTATTCATATATATTGGGACATATATAAAATATTTCATTCCAATAGCAAGTGGACATGAAGAAACAAAGAATCCAAATGCTAGGGGAGCTTCAAAAGAATCAGAAATTTTGAATCCTGTTGCTTATGGGTTGTTCTTGGACGACAACGTGGAACGAGGAAATAGGATGCATTTCAGAAAATGGTGCTGGCTGAGCGGCAGAGCAGCACAAAATTGGCCTAGGGCCATTATTCTCTCAACATTCTTGTTTACCAATCATTGTTAGTGAGCGTAATAAGCCTCCAAGGACGCGATTTGGGTCTTGAATTGCAAAGCTGTAACATTCAACAATGTGTGGGCCACAAGCAGGGAATATTTGAAACAAGGCCGCTGTGTGTAACTATCTCAATTGCTCAACGGGGTGGAGAATGACGAGAGAATCGTGACACTCAGGCAAGCTCCTAGTTCCCAGGTTGGTGGAAGAAAAGTACTAACAGAATTTGCTAGAGTAGTTATTATCTAACTGTTGCACCACAGTTGTGAGCTATCCAAATAATTGAATCGCAAGGTCTTCAAAATAGTAGAGGAATAGGAAATCCCTATCTCTCTTTTTACGTGACAAGGGAGACCGGTCTGTCTGCGAGCAGGAAATCGACCAGCTGACAGTCCTCACTCTCATTTGCTGTTCCTTAGCATTAAGCTCTCGTTTCCTCTTTGTTATTGTGGTTGTTGTCTAGGTTTCGCACAAGTGTAGCTGATTCTGACGGAATCTTCTGAAAAAAGGGATCAACACTCCATAACACATGACTGCGGATATATCCACTGGTCTAGGGGGACATAGATCATCTTTCCGATGCAGTTAGCTACCTGTCCTCTTGCTTTACTTCAAAGTACGCGCTATACCAGACGTGAAAAGCATCACGAGGGCACCTAACCCCATAACTTCGCGTCCACCATCCTCACATACGAACAGATCAATTCTTTCAAAATGTGCATTTCTCATATATTCTGTTTATAGTTCGCTGCTGGTGCCCTCAGGGGTCCGACTGCATACGAAGTCTGTCGGGCAGGCTGTGCTGTGGTAGTGATGGCTTGTTTGTTCGGGCTGTCGGATATACTTTGGGAGCCACGGCCGTCATAATGGCCCTCGCCACGATCACAGCTTGCAATTCTATCTTCGATGCTTGTCAGGCGGCATGTGTGCGGCGGATTTACTTCTTACGCCTAAATAAAGGTTTGTTTTGAAGATGGAGTGGTAGGCGAAGGGTTCGACTTAGTTACTGACTATATCTCACCCTCAAAAGTTACACCACTTAATGAACTTGATGTCTTGTCAAATTGCTTTGTTGTATGCGATGAATCGAACTCCAGACGGGCAAGGAACATATGAAATTGGAACTGAGTTTAATATCGGCCGTATATATTTTGACACGGAGAAAAAGTTAGTGATTTTTCGGTTCTGTGCTATTGAAAATTCAGCTGCGACCTTGCTCAAGGGTAGTTATATCTAAAACTTGAATAGCTGTGTGTTGCTAAATATAGTGTGGGTATATTATGAATTTCCTGGACGAAAGGGGGAATCAAAGGTTTTAATGCATTCGAAGCTGGAAATATGAACTTACGTGCCTTGATAGCCATACAGAAGTCACAGATAGTTTATGACCAATATGAATTCTGATTCCTCTTGATGTGTAGTATTTCGTTATTTATAGCCAATGAGGTGGTTCATGGGGTGAAAATTATTGTGACAACACCCCTGTAGAGGCTCGATCAACCCTGCCAACCGGTAAGCATCTGTATCCATCATGGCATTTATCCCCCCATTAAGCGTGTTCATTTTCGCTCATTGAATTGTAAACTTCTGATTGCTAACCAG